CGGTTTTGACGCAATGTGATTTCTGCCCAGTGCTCTGAATGTTAAAGTGAAGAAAGTCAATCAAGCGCGGGTAAGCGGCGCGAGTAACTATGACTGTCTTGTCGAATCGGGAGGCAGGGTGACTCGTTGAAGAGCCCATCAACAGTGTGATACCGGCAGCCGAGAGGTGTCTTGTTAAGGGGCCCAGCCGCCTCCTCGTGGCCCCACTGGTTAGGGACTGCCGGAACTGTAGTTCTGAGCTAAGTGCTGGTGCCCGCCGACGGCTGGGCTAATCACCTGGTCGGAGGTTATAGCGGCGATTACTACTGAAACAAATATTGAATCATACGCACGTCTCTCGGGACGTCGCATCACTCGCCGTCTGGTTGCCTCACATGGTCCCTGTGAGGAGTTGACTGAGCAAACAAACGGTACTGGTTCATTAGATTGTGTAATCTGCCGGAGAAGTTTGCAAACGCGTGCAGGCCTTGGTCAGCACAAGCGGCACATGCATCCGGTAGAACTCAATGCCGAAAGACTGTAGGTATGGAGAGGTTGCCGTACTCTGTGGTCAAAGCAGGAGGACGAGGCACTATTGCGCCTTGCCACGGAGCTTGGTCGATCCTGCCAGATACGACGGGCGCTGTATGCTCTTCTCGGAGGGCATTTCACCAACCGCACGGTTGAAGCGATAAAAATGTGGCTCCAGCTGTTCCGCTGGCGGCCTAGTGGTGCTCAGGGACACGTTCACTTCGGGGAGGGGAGCGATTTCCGACCCAGGCCATACCGTCTGGAGGCATCATGGATGATGAGAGGGAATCGACGTTGTGGGTTGGTCAGATGCAAACCACGATTGTGGAAAAGTTGGCTTCTATTGGAGGCGGGAAGTTTAACACCGCCCGGCCATGCCAATTGGTGCGAGACTGGTGAGACGGCCTGCTCGATCTCCGCTCGGAGCAACTTGCCCTCGAGGAGCTGATATCTGAGACCTTCCCGCACGTATGGGGCCCCCGTCTGTTAGGCATAAAGCAGCTATTGCCGCTGTCAAGACGAAGCGGCAAATTCGAAGGGTTCAATATGCACAGGCGCAGAAACTATACGCTACCAAGCGGAAGGACTGTGCCGAAACTGTGCTTTCTGGTGATTGGAGGACAGCTCACGAGCCCACTCTAAGACGCCCAAATAGTCTTAGAGGATTCTGGTCTCAGGTCTTTGACCAACCAAGCATGCCCGACCCCCGACCAGTTGAGGCGATTGCATCAAAATGGTCGATGCTGGTTCCAATTGCCGCAGACGAAGTCACTGAAGTCCTGAAGCAGATGGGGCAAACTGCCCCGAGTCTTGATCGTGTTACTACTATAACAATTGGTGCCATCGCCAGGATCAGAATGAAGGTTCCATGGCCAGCGGCCTTCGAGGATGGAGATGTGCGGATGTTCCTGGAGGAGTTCGAGGATGTGGAGGAGCTTACCGGAATACGGACGGATCGCGGCAAGTTGACGGCCCTTCCATCGCTCCTCAAGGGCCGTGCGCGGGCAGTGTTGGACGCGGCACGAAGGAGCCCGGAGAAAATGGAGTGGGCCGCCGCGAAGGACGCCCTGATTGCGGGCTTTGACACCCCAGCCGACCGCCAGGAGGCACTCCGTCGCTTCAAGATGGCGCAGCTCGGAGTCGGTGTGGATCCACTTTCGCATGCCGTGGCCCTGCGGGGGCTATTGGATCGCGCACTACCGACATTGGATGAGAATGCTCGCTCGGAACTACTCCTCGACCGTTTCACAGAGAGCCTCCCGGAAGACATACGCGAGAAAGCGAAACTCATCAATTTGGCACGTACCATGGACGTATTGACGCTAGCCAAAGTTGTGAGGCAATTCATCGATCAGGAAATTGCGGCGGTGCAAACGCAGGAAGTCCATAGGGATGAGCCGTCGGAATACGTGAACGTCACAGACGACAGACTGACGGATGAAGTGGTGCATTCAAATCAAATTTTGGACGGAAGAAAAACACAAATGCATGTTTTCATTGTGGCAGGCGAGGTCATTGGCGGCGAAATTGCCCTGAGAGATATGATACATTCCCTTTAAATACACGATTGATTCCGTACACGCGTCTTCTCTCGAACAAGGCGTCATTGGAGCAGTAGATCGCGGGGCAGTACGGGCCATTTTGGAGATCGAGGGGTATAGAGAACTATGCTTGATCGATACAGGTGCGGCAGTGCCTTTGGCTAGACCCCAACCAAACAAGCTCCTGGAAACGTGGAATACGGCTGTGAAAACAGTCGGGGATTACCAGGTGAAGGTAGACGGAGTAGCCGAACGGACGGTCCGTGTCTGAAATAGTATAATCAAGCACCCATTTGTCATAACAAAAGACATAGTGGGGGCAGACATCTGACGCAGCTTAAGGGCCGTGGTTGATCTGAACAACGAAAAGCTTGTTACCAAATTCGGCACGATCCCGCTGTTACGCTCCAAAGGGAAGAGTTTGGCGACCGTGAGTACAAGAAAAACTCACACCAATGTATCTCCTTCATTTCCGCCAATGGAGCAACGATACTCCTGCCTGTTCACAGGCGATGTGGACACCTACGGGTGCTGTAACTAGGTCGAACAGGAAATTCCAATAAAGGCAGGAAAATCTCGAGCCCATGTTTCACGTCAAATTCCACTACACTTGATAGATGAAGTCAATGAACAGGTCGAACAAATGTTAAAGGAAGGAAACATCGAAGAAACTCGAAGTCCGTATAACTTTCCCGTGCTATCGGTGAAGAAGCCCAATGGTAAATTTCGGTTCTGTGTGGATTTCTGCTAAGTAAACACTCTGACTACAAACAAGCCAGTCCCAGTCCGGACCGTGGCAGAGATTTTTGACCAACTGCAAAGCGCAAAAGTTAGCTCAGTGGTGGATCCACGATCGGGGTATTGACAAGTATCAAAAAAGGAAGCTAATCGAGAGAAAACGGCGTTCACAGTCGGAAGTAGACAATATCAGTTCAAACGAATGCCATTCAGATTATCAGGAGTGTAAAAGATTTGTGAATCCTTTATTGCCCAAACTTCAACATTTATCTATTTTTGCGCTACACCATATCCCAACTCACTGCGCTCTATACGAGACCTAAAATTTATATGCTTTTCCTCTTTTTCTATTTCTGTTTAACTGCATTACCGCCCTTTATAATTGTTGATTTTATATTCTGACCTTAACGCGCTAGTTAAATCGACGTCGTGTCAATCTAGTCGTGAATACCTATTTCATATATATTTGATACTGTAATTATTTTTATAGAACCACGTTCAATATTATTACTGCTGCCCAAAGCCGTTTTTTCTGCCCAGACCGTGCGTTTAGTCTAGATTCACAGGATCGCTGTTTACTGCTAGCTATCGTCGTTAGACTTAGCTCATTTGTCCTATCTTACGCGTCGTTTCCCTGCAGTAAGCTGTGTATTGTTCACAGATTCCTTGAGCGCAATTTGAATCTCGTCATAAGTTATATCTGTTATCGTTCGCGTAACAAAGTTGACTAGAAGACATTATGTCTACTCCTGAATGCATTACACCGTCACTTTCTGATGATGAGAATTTCATTAGGATTTCCAAGCTGGAACAGGCAGAAGAGAGAATCAGGCAACTGGAGTTTGAGCTGACAACGATGCGTATTTCTTCGGGTTCAAACGTCGCATCACGTGAGGTTCGGTTCGTGCACCAAGCGGATGAAGGCTACGTGATGCCAAGTTCTTCAAGATTAAAATTTGCCCCCGACATCACACTGAAACCGGACTCAATGAAACCGCTATGTGAAGCGGCTGTCCAATCCGAAATGGAGTATTGACAAGGAAGCACTGCATGCCAGATGCCTGAATTTCAAACCCTGGACGGATCAGCCACCACTAGTCGATCACCGGTTACATTTCGAGGAACTGACAATTTTGGCAACACGCTTATCAACCTTATTAAACGATACCTGGTGACCTTCGAGGGAGATCCTGCCCGGTACTGGCTCTTCATGCGCTGTTTCGAGGTAAGAAGCCCAATGGTAAATTTCGGTTCTGTGTGGATTTCTGCTAAGTAAACACTCTGACTACAAACAAGCCAGTCCCAGT